GCCCACAAGCCACACAATGGCACTTCCTAATACAGGTAGTCCTCGCTTAATGACTACCCTGTTTAGTGACCATTTGAAGTTATGGTGGTGCTGAAAAACTAACTTTACAACTGGTCCTCACACTTATGATGGTTGCAGCGCCCAGCGATCACACGATTGCCATTTGCATGCTTCATTGCCAGCTCCCGACAAGCAAAGCCAATGGAGAAGGGGACAGTAAAATCGCAAGTTGTGGTCACATGATATCTCACTTAACAACTGTGGATGATTTGCTTAATGACCTGGTGGATGTGATGTCAGTCTATTGTGATCATGTGATGTATCATTTAATGACCACATTGCTTAGTGACCAAGTTGCTGGTCCCAATTGTCATCATTAAGCGAGGACTACCTGTCAAGCATTCAGATCCGATCAGAGGAAAAAGGTCTTTTGTCAGTGTGTTATTGACCTGAGGAACCGGCTACCACAAGATGTGGTGTTGGGCACTAGTTTGTGTGAGAGGTTGCGAGGAGGCTGGCAAAGCAGCGGGACGGATGCTGGACACAGCTAATCCACAGATAGGAGCAGAGCTTGCTAGTGGCTTACCCCAAAATGGCAGCATACATACCAGAAGACACAACACAAATTCTGTTTTGGAGTTGCATTCAGACAACACCCTAAGCCTGCTTATGAATTAAGCCATTTGCTAAGGCAGTGCAATACCGTGCAGCATGACGTAAATAAACGGGATGAAGGTGCATGACACACCAAGCCAGGAAAAGACCTCAGCAAGGCAAACATCAGGTAGGCGTAATGCGTTGTGCAAATGCGCCAGCTGCGTCTATTCCTCACTTGGCCAAGCGTGTGACGTGAACGCAGCTCTTTGTCTTCCCTCAGATTCCCACAATGCCCTAAAATCTAGGCAGAGGCAACAGCCCAAAATAACCGGATAGCGACGCTCAGCTAAGCCATAATGTAGCTGATATGCTTTTGGCTTACTGTCATGTGTGAATCTGGCATTGTGGCTATTAAATCACACTTATCATTATAGGTGAACCCAGCTGCTGGCTGATGTGAGTGGCCGCTGGGTTATAGATACAGGGAATTTTGTTCCTTGGTGCTGTATGATGAGAGAGTATTATTGTGATGCTCTGCTGGTTACCGTTTTAAGGTTTTCATTGCAAATTGAGACGTTTGGGGTTGGTTACAACTGAAGCGGCCTCTAGCCCCATTATGTAAGTAAATCAGTCAATCACGGTTTAATGGAACGTGGGAAGTCCGTCGTGGTTCTGCATCACCATCCAAGAGGTAGCAAAATGCAGGAAAATTGGATGAAGATTAGCTGAGGCGAGCTGCAGTGCAAGTGGCATGCACGATTTTACAACAGTCCCCATTAAGGATTATGTATTTTTTGGACAAGGAGGAGAAATCCGGGGTAAATACAGGATAGTTACTTGATTCCTGGCACCTTGCCGGGGACAAAGGAACCTGCTTGTTTGGGAAAATGTCAAAAATCTTAGCTCTTCTTTTGTAATGTAGTGCAATTTTTCTTTGTGTTCTGCAGTTAGTTAATTAAGAAAACAATTACATATTCACAAAACATTATGATGCCAGTATGAAAGGAGCACAATTTGCATTGCAACGTCATGACGGACTTTCTTGTGCTCCCGCAAGGACCCAGGTGGTTGGTGAGATTCAATTCAGTTCAATTTGTTATGGCCGCCCACTCCGTTAGAGGCAGCTTAGAAAACCGAGGGCACAATTAAAACAATTAAAAGATGGAAACTCTGTGTGGATATGTGCAGAGTTGTTACCAGATAAAAACAAGAGAAAGTTTCTTTGGGGTTTTTTTTTTGTATTGATGCTTTGCTTCTTCCTAACAGATACAGCACTGGTTAGGTTGTTAGGTTCAAAAACGCAATACTTTTCCAAGAACAGAAAAAAATTACATTTATAGTAGGCTTTTTAGAGGGCATAGTTTATAGCTAGCAACAGAAAATGAGGGAAGATGGCTAAGCTTTTCACATGCACTGATGACCATTTATGGAATAGCAGCTTCGTAATAACTGATTAGAGGTGTGTACATCGGTATCTTTTTGTATAGTAACAGCAAAAATGCCCTTGCAATAGCATAAAAGCCTAATGTAAAGATGATCAAATCAAAGTTATCAAATAACTCTCTAATTCACCTTCCTAAACCACAAGAGAGGGTTTTCTAGGTTTAGGGTTGCATGAAATATGTTTTGATCTTCATTTAGTATGCTCTATCTTTACGCATTTTAATTATGATTGCAATAATTTTAAAATCAATTAAACTCATATTGATTCTCTCTCTTTTCTTCTTAAATCACTGGTCCTTCCAAACTTACAGAGTTAGACATTCTCTTTTTAAGGTGAAGGCTTCATCTGGGGATTTACAGTCCTCGCCCAGCAAATATTAAAATATTTTTTTTTCAAACACTGATGAATAGGATATAAACACCAGGAGGAGGCAAATTATGAGACTTCCAGGGTGACACATTCCTGAAAATGCCACAACTTATATATTTCTGTCCGATAACTTGGTAGAAGTACATAATTGTGGCATTTGCGTGATTATATCATTGTGTGTGTGTTCTTCTGGCATTTCTTGCAGATGCCGCTGTTAGCCTAGGTTAGTGTTTCTCAACCTCAACAACCTTAGGATGTGTGGACTTCAATTCCCAGAATCCCCTAACCAGCATATGTGGACTTCAATTCCCAAAACTGCATTCTGGGAGTTGAAGTCCAAACATTTTAAAGTGGCTAAAGTGGCCTAGGACATTTGCGTAATAAAAACTTTGCCTGTGACTAGAAGAATATTCAAAGTGCAGACATCTGCATTCCACTTCAGCAGCCAGCTCTAAGATTTAGGGAGAGAGAAGCAAAGTGAGCCAGGGGGGAGCTGCATTCTTCAATGCCAGTGCGATAAAATTAAGCGAGTTGCACTAAAGGGCCAGTGGTCTGGCTTCTGAGCCCTGGGCACGTGGAAGAGTTACTTCCCAGCGTACTGCAGAATCTGTAGCAGGCAAGAGAAAGGACAATGTGGGCTGGAGTGAAAAATCTTGCACCTACTTGCATCCCACTCCGTGTTTTCATAATGGGAATTGCTTTCAGGAACTCGGGGTCCAGACAATTTTTGTTAGAAGCTGGATAACGAAAGAGAAACAAATAAACTTGTAGCATTAGCTTAAAACTTCATACCGATGTTCAGTTTTATCATGCATTTTATAATTTCGTAAGTAATCGATAATATATTAGAAAAGCACGATCTCCACTGTATTGTAGATCCCTTGTTCACTTATTTTATTTTACTATTTGTATTTTACCCTTTTATTCTTTTTACATGTCTTCTATCGCTCCTTGTTTCTATTTTTTCTTTAAAAGTTTCATTTAAAAAACCCACAAACTTGTAGCATACTCCAATCAGTGCAGTTTCATAGCAAAAGCAGAACACACGTTTGAATAGATTAATAACTTGCAGCTTTATTGATGCTGCAGGTCACCCTATTTAAAACCGTAAAATGTTTTCATAAAGAGCACATGAGCAAATAAATTAGTATCTGGCCTCCACCAATTCAGATTGAATAATGAAACGCTTATCCTACCACCCTCTGATCCCTGTTCATAGAAAACCAACATGTCAGGGAGGATGCTGCAGGCTAATTTTCACAGTGAGCTGCTAGTTTTCTACCTGTGGGGTGTGTGGGCAGGAAGGAGCATTTACTTTTGTCTGGAAAGGGCTGCAATTCCTTCTAACCTGGGCCAAGCCAACAAAGGAAGCTTTACCTAGCTTTTTCTTTGCATCCTCGAAGCCTTGTTCAAAACTATGACGTGCATCTGGATTGGGAAATTCAAAAATATGAGAGTCGGTGCTGTCGGATTTGGTAACGGTGAGCTCCATTTTGTTGGGTGGAAAGGACATGGTGAATGACATCGACTGCTTCTCCGTGAGTTCCCGGTGGATGGCAGCCATTAAGTCCTTGATAACATCATCCAGGGTCTGAAGAACAGATCAGAGATCAGAATTAGTGGCGTGGGAAGATCAAGAACTGGTGGATAATGTGAGCTGTGCTGAAAGAACTGGCTAGGTCACCATGCGCCAAGTTTTTCCAGCAGGGTAAAAGAACTGAAACTGGGCGCTTTTGCAGGTCACGCTGTTTTTAGGTTATGTCATTATCCAGGAGTAAAAGTTTAAGCCCTTGAGACCATCCCTCATTTGAACCTGCTTTAACGTGGAGGCAGTAAAACCCAGTCGGGTAACGAAACGTTTGCAAGAAAACAACCAAGCTCAGAGAACCCCAAGGACTCCGCAGTAAAATTGGTTGGCTTGTATTTTAAAACATTTTAGTATTCAAACCAGTAACAGGGCCAAATGTTGATCCAATGCATTTGAGAACGTTCAAAATCCGAAGGCTGACTGTGAATTAATCTTATATTTTCTAAATGTGTGGTATCTGCATCTCTAGCCATCAAATCTCAGCGTTTTTGCACATATTCCAATGCTGAACCTGTATCGCTCTATCAGATGAAGGAGATGGGAGTGCTCTGTTTCCAATGGGCTGGACCCGGGAATGGTTTTATTATTGTTGCCCGAATGGGAAAGTTTGCATTCTCCAGCTGCATTTTTCATCGAAGCTCTACTTCCCTGACATTTTGACGGGGAACAGTGCTCACCTGGTGGGGGAAACTGAGAGTCTCAGAAAGTTTGCTGACTTGTCCAAGCGTGCTCAGGTCTTCGTCCAGGCGGCAGATGGCCTTCTGGATGCTGTCGCGGTTGGTGGACTGAGAGCTCCCTGCGTGTGCAGAAACGATCCATTTAAGGCCTCGCACTGGCATATACCCCACAGATCATAGGGTCATCGATCAGAGAAAGGGGTGGGATTACGTGGCTCTGTGTCTTTCCGCTAGATCTTAAAAGATACGCATGCATGGATCGATTCCCAGACTGATACGGTTCTGGAGACCATGATGCAAAGAGCAGATTTCCCCTTTATCGGAGAAGGGACTTACCTCGTAGGAAGGCCGTTAGAAAGAGAATCAGAATGTCTTTGCCATAATACAGGTAGTCCTCGACTTATGACCACAATTGGGGCTGGAACTTCCATCACTAAGCGATGCGGTCATTAAGTGAGTCATGCCCGATTTTATAACCTTTGCTGCAGTCATTGAGTGAATCACTGCAATCGTTAAACGAACCATGCTGTTGTTAAGCGAATCTGGCTTTCCCCATTGACTTTGCTTGTCGGAAGCTCCCTGGGAAGGTCGCAAATGGTGATCATGTGACCCCAGGATGCTGCAACCATTGTAAATACATGCTGGTTGCCAAGCACCTGAATTCTGATCATGTGACCGCAGGGATGCTGCGATGGTCATAACTGTGAGGAGTTTCAGTCTTGCAAGATTGATGTTAGCCCTGCGAGGTAGTCCAGATAAGAAGCACAAGCAGGAGTACTAGCTCTATCTTTCTTATAAAGTTACTTCGACAGAATCTTGCAAGACTGAAAATGCTCCTCCCTTCCTTTCCTTTTACTCTCCGGAAAACTAGGGAGGGTCCCTTCTGAAACGCTTCCCACGCCTCTTCTTTGATGGGCTGAGACATCAAACCAGGGTGATGTGGAAATTCCCTCAGATCAGTGTTTTTCAAGCTTAGCAACTGTAAGATGCATGGACTTCAACTCCCAGGATCTGGGAG